ATCTTAGGAGGGAATAATAATGAACGGTGACCGTAACAAAGTGTCAAACCTCTGGGCTTAATCCCAATCTGCTTTCTTGATCTGATGTGTTTTCTGTTCTCCCCGATGCGCATGTTGAGTTAGCTACATGAGCAGAACATAGAAGATATTGTAAAGAATGTCAAAGGGAACTAAGCGTACTCAGATATGTTCACGATATAGCATGACAGTTTCGAAATGACTGAATTCAGTACAAAAAAATATATAAGACTCTTAAGTTTTTTATTTGACAGATTTATATGTGAGGGAAAAAAATTTACAAAACGAACCTGAGCTAGGGACGTCATTGGCAGGAGTAATGTTTGGTATGTCATCACTTACGGCCCCTCTTCTACCCCTATCACCACTCCGGTCGCCGGAATCTTGAGCTGCAAGAAGGGGAGCTACCATCATGACTGAATAGTATTTTAGCAATTGCAGGAGCTCTCTAAAGTATTTGTGGAATGCAATGACTCTATATAAATACTTACAACACATGCCTGGAGTCCATTTAATGGACAGTTACATAATCAATTTCGTTGGAAAGGTGAGAGGTCAGCCCTATCTTTCATTAGGTATGTTTTTCTGTTTAGTGTAAAGACAACGAATTAGAGATATATTATAATCCAGTAAAAAATTTTAGTCTTAATAAGGAGTATTAGTTTTAAGAGTTTTTAAGTGTGTAATAGACATCTTAAGGATTGCATAAATATTGGTACTGGCATATAGATGATGATAGATTATGGAAATTGAGCGTACAATAATTGATGAATGAAGAGGTTCATTCATGTAGTCGCTGGTGCTGAACAGCCAATCAACAACGTTTCATCGTAAAAAACGATCCTTATATACAATGGAAAATAGTAAGTGATATGTGAGGGGACAGCCCTATCTTAAAGATAGAGTTTACGAAGCACATAACCGATATACATACCTTAAAGTTGGCTATAGTCTAACTGAATGATGTGTGAAGCAAGCAAAGCCTGTGTAACTCTTGAGAAAGTGTTGTTTCTTCCTCCATTATCTGATATTTAACATATCACCCAACGGATACATACGGCATCTGTTATGGAAATTTATAAAACCACAAAATTAATGTTTCAAAGCATATGTGGTGATCTATATATGAAATTATGGACGAAATTCAAATAGAAGCTACAGTCTGTATGATTACATGTATAAGAGATTTCACAATTCATACAATTCCAACGCGTAATTTTTTAAAAGATCAATGCTGTTCACTGGGCTTACATGATCAGTTGTGAGAAGAGTGAAAGCATAAATTTAGACCATATGGATTTATCATAAGCTTACAACTCATTGATGTCGAGATCGTGGGTAGAAGAGTTATTAACATGATAAGTGGGATGGATCGTAACTGAAGTAGTTTCGACTGGAAAGGAAGAAGTCTAAGGCGTGGGGATCTCAGGCGAACCGAACTGTCACGCAGAGCTTAACAAATCCATCTTCACATCGGCTGAGAGTGGAGCTGTCGTGAACCCTAATACCTTTAGACGACTACGACGTATGAGAAGATGATTTGGTGGTTTTAGGGCTTTGCAGATGAATATTACATTAGGCCAGAACTGTTAGGCCCAAACGGCTGGAGATAAGACTCAACTTTCGGATGTGAGGGACAGGTGTCAAACTGCAAGGAAGAGAATTGATGACGTGGATGAACATGAGAGACACAAACTCTTCTTTATATAATTAGATATACTGCGATACCAATACATAAAATTTTAGGATAATTTTAGTATAAATTATATATAACTAATTTACTTAATTAGATGAAAAGTTATGTTTAAATTCTTAAATAAATTTTCTATATTTTAAAACAAATATTACGATTAAAATATTTGTTTTTTAAATAATACTTTTTATTTATCTAGTTAAATAATATTCATTGATTTCAATAAAAATATATTATTAATATGTATATTATTTTAAATAAATATAAATACATTATTTTATGATAATTTTAAAATTATATCATGCTACTGCTCGACCAATCAATTTATTAAAAACTTTACTTAGAGCATACAACTTATAGAGAATAATCTCTATAGTATATTGCTACTGTTTTATTATCAGCGGGGCCATATGTCTTCACATCTTTTGTTTCATCTGCCTAGTATGTATCAATAGTCAGAGATTCATAACCAAATTCACAAGGCCTAATTTTTAAAATATAATCTTACTTAAAAATTATTTTCCAATTTTTATTATATTTACTGATATTGGTTAGATTAAAAAGATATTGTATATCTGTACCCGGACTACGCCCGGAAGTTTTCTCCTATATTTTAATTTTGTTTAGTTTATTATAGAATATATTTAACTATATATTCTATACTTAGACTAAATAATTTATATAAACTATTAAAAAAAATTGATTTTTTTGTATTTTTTTGGTGACTAAAATTTTAAAACTCATTTTTTCTTTCAATATCAAGATACATTTAACTTTTGTTAACCAATTGAATAAAACAATTTATTTCAAATTAAATTATTCTTTTAACTTATTTATTTGAGTTTTATGAAAATGTGGTTAAATTAACATATAATTCAAATATTTTAACGTTAAAATCAACCAATATATATTTTTAAATTTTAATACTTATTATTTGGTGATAATAAAATATTTATGAATTCATTCTTAAGTGTTAAGGCATTGATGAAATGAAGAACAATTGAAATATAAAAGTGATGTACTTTAATTTCTTTAAAAGAATCCTGAAATTATGTCAAATACTTTTGTTTCTATGAATCAAACAAAGAGTAGACAATTTATAATTTGTTTCAAGACTATTGTCTAATTAAAAATGATTGTATTTGAACACCCAAACATCCACTGTTGCACTAAAGAACAATTAGATTAACTTAATAACTCAGGATGAAATTCTATCTTCCTTCTCTGGCGTTAGCATGATCTAGATTTCTAGTGAGTAATTAAAGATCGAAAAGAAGCATAAAAAGAAAGCTTACCATTTTAGTAAATATTTATTGTTATGGTAAGATATCATAACTTGGGTTCATCTTTCAGATTTGTCAATATTGAGGTTCCTCATACAAACCATTATATAGCAATATTAGTTGGAGAATTGCAAGAAAAAATCTAAACAACTTAAGAATTTTATAGAAATTCAGAGCTAATTATAATACACCTGAACCATATAAGAAAATAAATAAGCAAACAATATATTTCAGTGTATATATTTCTCGATATGCTGGGATGTAAACACACAGAACGCTACCATAATTAGATGTATAACGTAACCTCCCAATATCCTTTTCTACTCCAGCTATTAGAGATGGTGGTGGAGTGACCAATTCAATAATCTCGAATCAACATTTCTCCTAGAATAACTTTCTTTCCTACCCAATGGTAGGAAGGTGAGCGAGAACACTTAAACGGCACGCCAAACCAAATCCTACACCACAAATGTAGATTCAGCACCATACATTACAAAGCTTGAGATCAAGCAGACATGATAAACTAAGGTTTAAAAATAACAATTTTTTTTCCTTTTATACCTCGTGCATGATGTATTTCATTTACAGTAACCATCAATACCTTTGAATTTAACGAAAGAAAAGCTAGAGACTTTTAGAAATAATAACAAAAACATGTTTTAAGGTTAGCCAACTGTACGACGAAAGCTGAGTATGGAACGGATGCTTATCATCCCTCATGTTTGCAGAATCTGCAGAAGAACATGAGATTTTAACACGAAAAAGTCCAAATTTTAGATTCGGAGATACTTGATTAAGCAAATGAAAACAATAGAACACTGGATCACACAAAAAAGAAGGAGAAGAGAAACTCACAAAAGGCAAAAAAACATCGACATCGAAGAGACAAACACGTGCCACAGAAGAGTCTTCCTTGTAAAAATTCATGTCCACACCTCTAATGTACTTAATCATCTCCCATCGCTGAGATATTTCAATCGATGAAGGTAACTTCCATGGGAGGACATCGTTCGCGATCAATTTCTTCTTCAACTGATCCTGCACTCTGACATTAAAAATCACTAATTGATTTGATAGTTCGAAACCAAAGAAAAACTTAGTGCGATACATATTCGGTCCAATTGATCCGACTAAAGATTCGCCTGAAGCTTCTTCTCCATCCAAAGGTGAATGGAAAGCGGCAAAGAAAGAGAAATGTAGCTCTGATTGATCGACGATCAGTTGGAGAAATGGAAAGGACGAAGAACAACATGGAAGGGTAGGGATTTTTTTTTCATCCACTGAGTTCTTCAGGGTTTTTCTTTGTTTGGGCCTAACATGCCAAACATTTTAAACAAAACAGATATAAAAGAAGTCCAAAATCAGACTCATTCTATGTTGAGCTGAAAAAATCAGACACCCTCATTGGCTGATTTTCCCAGTTGACTTAGACACACTAAGAGGATTTCATATCCTCCTATTAGTATTATAGATAGATAATCTAATTCATTAACCAAAGTCAAACTGATTAGTCTCGACCAAAGTTAAATTGATTAGTATAAACCAAAGTAAATATTCATAATTTCCTTTCTTTAAATCACTATAGAAACATATCTGATTTTAATATTACTTTATTTTTAGCTTGTGTGAGAAATTTATATAAATTTACTTCTTATTCTAACATGGATAAACTCTTCAATTTAATTTTTTCATTTCTAACTTAAAAAATTTACATTATATATTGATGAAAATAATAATTATATTTTACATTATTTAGAAATATTATACCCCATAATACGCAGATTATTATCTAGTCTGATTTATTTTATATGTATTTGTTTCCTCTTACAATCTAATTAATAAATTTCAGCTATCAAAAAAAAGAAAGAGTTCTTTTACAATGTTAGTTCAAATAATGGGTTGATTTGCTATATTTTAACACGTGTTTTATTTGCTATTAACAAAAGCGAAAGGAAAGGTATTATATAATACTCTGCCACTAGCTTCAACTCCATCTTCTGCCCACCATGATCCCCAAAGAAGCTAAACCAAATCAGCAAGAGACGAAGGCTGAGCCTCAACCACTTTCGTTATCATCACTCCCAGACGAAATCTTGGAGAACATTCTTGCCCGTCTCTCCAAGTGGAATTACCCTAATTACTCTCTCGTCTCCAAAAGATTCCTCTTTCTCCTCTCTTCTCCTGAAATCTACGCTACACGATCTCGCATCGGAACCACCGAACCATGCCTCTATTTTTGCGTAGAAGACTTGCCCAGCATACCACATCCCAAATGGTTTACTCTTTGGATGAAACCTGCCGATGAAACCCTAGAAAACGACGATGAAATTCTTGAAGACTATTCGTTGGTTTCGGTACCCTCTTGTCACTATCTTCAACAAGTACCATATTCTTCAACCGTAGCTGTTGGTTCGGACATCTACGTAATCGGTGGACCCTACGAGGGGCCGCCGTCTTCACTTGTTCGTATCTTTGATTGTCGGACTCACACGTGGCGTGAAGGTCCCAACATGTTGGTGGCACGTGAGGAGGCGTATGCATTTCATATCGATGGGAAAATATATGTAATTGAAGAGGACCGGAAAGACGATAAGTGGATGGAAGTATTAGACATAGAGACTCAAACTTGGAGTCCCTTGCTGGGCCATGGAGCTACTGAGTTTCGTGATGAGTGGTTTCTTGTCAATGTGTTTAGAGGACAGATATACGTAATTGCTGCTGAGGAGAATTTTGCATTTGACCCAAAAGAAGGGACATGGGAAGTTGTGGGAACGCACGAGTGTTATAGACATATAGATGCTTGGTGTGCGATAGAGGATGTGATGTTTTGCTTTACGAACTCTGGTTATTGCATGTGGTATGACACTAAGAGTAGAGAGTGGAGAGAGGTCAAGGGTTCGGATATGGAAGTATTGCGTGATATAAGCGAGGATAGCGTAGCACGCGAGGATAGTTTAGCATGGGGGGGTGTTGTTGGAATGGTTAACCATGGTGGGAAACTATTTGTTACCTGGGTCCCCATCCCCAAATACAAGACAACGGAGGAAAGGAAAATTTGGTGTACGAAAATCTCATTAGAGAAGCGCCATGAAGGTGAGATTTGGGGTAAGATGGATTGGGTTAATGAAGTGCTTACGGTCACCAAGTCGTTTAACTTCTTGAGTTGTGTAGTAATTACGATTTGAGGATTCCTAAAAGAGGGAATATGTACCGATTACAATATTGTGATATCTTGGTAGAATGGCATTTGTTATTCTTTCGCTTTGAACAACCTGTTTTGTTTTAATTTTTTTTTTTTTTTATCAACGTTTTGTTTTAGTTTAAAGACTCATTCTTAAACCAAGCCCCAAAACAGATATAATAAGATAAGTATACATAATAATGCAAGAAATTACACTATCCTGAAGCAACAACAAAGTTTACGGAGAACTTATTTTCAAAACCAAATTTAAAAATTCAAATTATGATCTGAAACCCCTGTAGCAGATAACCATTTGTACGATTTTCTATATGGGAGGAATAGACAAAGCATTTAGGACCACTACATATAACATGAATCATCAGAAACATTCTTGTCGTTGTAAATAAAAACATCACTTATCATGTACTAAGGTATTTAATCATTTATTGTAACATTTTTCATATAAATTCTAGCTCACTTCGACACCAAGGACACAATTTTATTTAAACACCATAATAAGTATCAGGAGCTTTAGAAGGATGAATGAATATATTAAACTACTTACATGAAGGCAATGCTAAACATTTCAGCTTTATCCAGCAAATATTCATTAATTGAACTAATAGAAAAGAGCAACAACAGTCTATCACCAATCTTTTTTTCAACATTATATGGCTGTTTCGGTTTGCCGCACTATATTACTATATTATATTAATATAATAATAATCTAGACCGAAAAATAGTATACATACACGAATCTAGCACAACTAGTAAAGGACATAGACAGTTTTGTAAGACATTGATATACAGCTCTACCGTCTGCACTGTTGTACTATTCAAGAACAGAATTCTTACAAAACTCGAGATTTAAGACCTTGTTGTTGTCAAGATAATTGGAAGATCCATTCTTTCTTTTTTTTTAATTGACTCTCAACTTGAAATTTGACAAGAGTGTGGATCAAAACTAGTAGCAGTTATTACAAAACTACCCGGCGACTAAAAGTTTCAGCCTTTATTATGTGTTAAACAGTAGAATACAACACAAAGGTACTAAACTTGCTTGATGCCTCCCACTAACATATAAAGACAGCCTCTCTAGCCAGCAACGTATGTAATAAAATTTTACCTCTAGAAAAGTAGTGGTAGCTACGCAGTGGCAACCCCTGACTGATCCTGCTGAAACCACTCAGCTGGCCACCACGTCGGTCTAATTGCCTCCACCTTCACGTCCTCTGACCCGTTTACTGTCAGTTCAGTGGATGCTTTAAAGGATTTCTCCACTCTCATTAGTCCCATTCCTCGGCTACCCAAAGCTGTTGAAACTGTCCCTATTTTCTTGCGGCTTCCTGATTCAACCACTTCAGCTCCAGCTGCAATCTTCTGGTCTACCTCTGTGTTAACAACCATCATCACAATCTTTTTCATTCTTCTGGTGTACCTCTGTGTTAACAACCATCATCACAATCTTTTTCATTCTTGAATTTGCTCACAAGATTCTTAGAAGCTTTGAAAGTTTTTGTAAGCTCAAGAAATTGGAGCTTGATAGATTGCTGCAGTGGTAGAGCTTTGTTTCGCGCACTTGTGTTACACACAGGAAATGATGTGTGACACACGCTTCGGAGAATAAAAAGGAAACTGCAAGATGTGATGAAATAGAATATTCTCATATATTTGGTCGACGAAATATGTATCAAAAGATAGGAGTCACGTGGACTTTAAGGATTTTATTGCTAAGGAAAACCTAATTAAATGAGAAAAGATTAGTGGGTTTAATGAGCTAGGGTTTTGCTTATTGGAGTATAAAGAGACAAGATGGTGAGATAAATCCGTCACGCGCTTAGAGTTTATTGAAGATGCACATGGATGTGTGTAACGTCGTCCTACCAGACATATGTAGAGATTTATTGGTAGTTTTAGCCACATACCATGCTTTTACAGTTTTTACCTTTTCCGTTGCTATAAATGAATCTTAAAGGGACTAAGCGTTTGATGAACCGGCAAGAAACTTTTACTCATTTGAACAAGTTTTCAAGATTAGGTCGTCATTTCCCGCTTATTACGAATTCTACCAATTTTACAAATGTTTGCGTTTACAAATGATGTAAGCTCACTTATTTGAGGTTTAAAGAAAAGCCAGAACTTGACCGTACCTCCGTGCGGGTGTTTGATTTAACTTGTGTTCAACGTATAAACTACGGGTTTAAAAAAAAGATATATACTTTTATGTTTTGTAATTTACATATATAGTAGAATATATTATTTTATAATATAAATGTTTAATAATAATTTTTTATTTGTATGTAATATTATATTAGAAGTTTTATAATTTAATGCAATTTGTTGTAATTGTATTATTCATATATTAACATTTTTTTGTTAATTTATTTTAAAATAAAACAACATACTGAAAATTAATTTTTTGCATTAGTTTTCTATGAATTATCATTGATTTTATAATATTTTTTTTTGAAAATTGAAATCTTGATATTATTTTATTTGATAAATTAAATCAAGTAATAATATATTTAAAAATTATTTTATATAATATATATTCCATATTTCAGTTTATGGTTTTATTTTCACCATAAAAAAATAAAAACCCTTCTAACTAATTAATTTAGATTGATTTTAAATGCAATGGCAGAATCTGTAAATAAAAAGAAATACAAAAAATATTTAATTTATTGTAAATACAACGCGTAAATGTGTAAATAAAAGAAAGTACTTAATATGTTATCCATGTTTCCGAACAATTCTCATTTATCTTATTATCTTTATTTCCAAACAGTTTGAAAAGGTACTTCAGTTTTAATAATATAGACTAGATTTCGACCCGCACAACCGTGCGGGTATTTTAATACGAAAATATTTGAAATTCTATAATAAAATTTATCAATAAATAAGTATAATTTGATTATGTATGATATCCTATTTTATAATAATTTTATGTGACTTATAATATTATTAATATAAAATTTATAAATATGTATTTTTGTAACAATTTTTAAAAACATTATTATGTAACATTACTAATTTATATATTTTTATTTTTAAACTTTGAAATATATGTAAAATTTAAATTAAATGGGAACTATATAATACATAAACAAAATTTTGGGATATTTTTAAAAGTATTTTACATAATTTTAATTTTTGTTTATAAATAAAAAATGGATTAAAATTTTAATTATAGTTTATGATAATTAAAATTTTAATCAAATACTCTTTGAAACTATATCTTAAAAAGATTCTAAAAGATTTTTAAAAGATTTTGTTATAAATTTTTTATAACTATTTACTTGTATTTCAAACAAAAATTAAAGATATAAAAAGATATTATAATGTTATGTAAAATTTTATAAAATTCTAAAGATGGTCCAAACTAAAATATCACACATGAAATGAGTCATGACTTCTCTTTTAATATAATAGATTGGAGGTTTAAAAAAAAAACTCAACTAATTTAGTTTTGGCTAGGAAAAATTAATAAACTCCTTTTCTTTTCTTTTTGAACAAATTCTTGAAACGTCAACAATTGGTGCAAGGTAATTTGTATCATGTGTCGTTTTCATTAGACCAAAACAAGTTTTGTTGTCACAGGTCATAGTAGTGATTGTCTCATTTGTTATGGGTGGTCTATTAAAATGCCTCACTTTTAAAAGTAAAAAATAATATGGGTGGTCTTTTAGTTGAATAAATTTGATTTTTATATTATAATAATACCTTTTAGGTAAAAAACAATTTTCTTAATAGATGGAATATGTAACTACTCACGGATAATCTAGAATACGCACAACAGTAAAAAATGACATATTATTCAATGAAAGAAGAACAAGATTTTAAAATTCAGAAAATACTATGAATTTAAAGGATTGCACACAATATAGAAAAAAGGCTTAAGAAAGTAACAAAAAGTGATTAAACATAAAGAAGATTTAATAAAGTAACAAAGAGTAGTTAAATAATATTTGATTGTTGGCGATATTTTAAAGAGTAATCTGATGAACAAAGTGAAGAAAGTGTAAAGCATATTAATCTGAAATACAAAACTCTTGCCATTAAACATAAGTTCCGTATTAGTTTAAAATGCCATGCTGTTAAATTGCCGTTTTGTATCATTACCATTACCTAATCGCTTTTCACTTGGTTTACCAACTATTAAAAGTACTAGATCTTTTTTTCTGCGCTATGTGGGAACCGAGATTCACACTTGTCGATTTCCGTAAAATAAAGAAAGTTAGGAAAACCCTAATTTTCCAGAGGAACCGGATCTCTGCGAAAGCCAACGACAAGTAACCAAGAACGCGATTAATATGAATAAATTGAAAGATATAAAAAGAAAAACGAGATTGAGAGTAAGAAGGATTCTTATTCCGAATTCGCGTAAGAACGGTTACAACGAGAGTTGCCTTAGTTGCGTGAGCTATCGGCGAAATTCCTAGTTATATAATCTAAGACTAAAACCGTAGTTGAGACGCAGCTCGATAACGAAAACGGAAAATTGCCTAAATGCTAAGTTTGGTGGTGAAAGCTCTGAAAACTCGTGTGTCAGCTTCTGCCCTATGCCTCCTCCTTAAGCGGTTTTAGTCTTTCCATTTTGCTCGAAACCGAATATTTCGGGAACTTTCCATATCTGTCGATCCTTCCTTTTCTTCTGCGGAAATCTTCTATTTATCTTCAAACTTGCCTTTTATCTTCCGTCTGCGAGTAGACCGTCAAAGCGTTATCGTATCTTCGGGTTTGATTTCGTTAACGTCGCGAGATGGGTTTTTATCG